TCTCTTCTCTCATCTCTCATCTCTCATCTCTCATCTCTCATCTCTCATCTCTCATCTCTCATCTCTCATCTCTCTTCTCTCTCTCCCCCCCCCTCGCCCTCCCCCCCTCTCCTCCATCACCTCGTTATCTTGACTTCTCTCCGCTGCTTCCCGCCAAAAGAAAAACAATTATAAATGTTATTACTTAACTAGGTCTGAGCGGGGATGTGGGTTGCATGGCCACACGAGCGCCGCGGTCGGAGTGACTGAGGCTCACTGCCGTAGTGAGGGCGGGGGCCCGGGGCCCGCCGGGCCGGCGAAACTGACTCGAACTTAACTGAACACACCAAGTAGCAGTTTCGGAGCCCCGGACGTTAAAATTGCCTCTCACCGGGAGTTGGACCTGCCAACCCGGTCACCGGACCGTTGAACTGTTCGGCCCGGTGCGCCACCGTGACGACGGTTCAATGGTTCGAGTCGCCGGGCCCACGGTTCGGGCCCAGGAAGTTCGGGCCATGCCAAGTTCGCCGGGGCCCGCTGCGGCGGGGCCCGCTGCGGGGCCCGGCGGTGCGAAGGGATATGAGGGGGATGAGTCAATGTTTGGGTATGAGGGAGATGAAGGGGATGAGGGGGGCGGAGGCCGCATGTCGAAACGAGGAGCGGGAGATAGCGAGGGAGGGGAGGGGAGGGGAGGAGGGGAGGAAGAGAGCGCTGAGACAGACTCTGAGCACGAGGAAGGCGACTGTGAAGGTTGGAGGAGAGGGGAAGGAGGAAGGCAAGGGAGCCATGCGGTTCTCAAAGGATTGAAGAGAGGAGGGCTCGTTTTGGGTTCAAGGAATGACTATGGGTGAAGTATGTTCACAAGAGAGGACTGGAGAGGATATTGAGATCATGCCATGGAGATCCACCTAAAGTATCAAGCAAGGAAGCAAAGTTTCGTGGCGGGAGCAACTGTCCATGAACAGCAGCCGTATCATACGCTCATCGCCCCGTGCATCGTATCAACGGGGTGAACCTTCTTTTCAGGTGACGTCGTCTCTTCGCATGAAGAAGGGGAGGATGGCCCATCGACTGCCTGAGATGAGTGTCCTCGCGTGCCTTCTTCTCTTCTGTGAGCCTTGCTGTCAGTATCTTCATCCTCCTTTCCTTACTTCTGCATTCAGCATTAGTGCTACTATCCTGTGCCGCGCCTGCATTCTCACAATTCGATGACGACGCTAGCGCCTCCTACGACTACGATGGCACTCTCATCCTCAACAGGTCTTCTTCGTCCCTTCCTCGTCCTCGTCCTCGTCCTCGTCCTCGTCCTCGTCCTCGTCTTCTTTCCGCTTGTGCCCTTGGCCCCTGCCGTAGACACGCCTGACATGCTGGCAGCCGCAATTTCCGAGAGATGACAAGTCAGGGGGTGTGGGTCGTGATGTTCTACTCTTACAGGTGAGATGCAGAGCGCGTGGGCGAAGGAGGAGAAGGGAAGGGAGGAGGAAGAGGAGAAGGAGGAGAGGAGGGATGGGGGAGGAGGGCGAGGAGGGTTAGATCTGTTGCGTGGAAGGATGACTTGCCCGTCAGCGTCGTCATCAAGAGGACAGAGGAGGCGTACAACTGCAGGAGCTTCACGTGGTTGTGGGGAGATCTGGCGACTCGTTTCTCTGAGCTTGGAGGAGAGCCAAACTCTGGTGGGAAGAGGAAGAGGAAGGGGAGGGGAAAGGGAAAGGGAAAGGGAAAGGGGAGGGGGAGGGGGAGGGGGAGGGGGAGGGGGAAGGGGAAGGTGGGGAGGGGTAGATGGGGGCGAAGGAGGGCTGGAGTACTGAGTGAGATCGTCAGGCCCAAGGCCGAGCATTCACATTGCCAAGTATGATACCTCCTCGGAGTCAGAGAGAAGGTTGGTGAAGCAAATCCATGTCCTGCCTGCCTCCCTGCCTGACTTCCTGCCTCCCTCCCTGCCTGCCTGCCTGACTGACTGACTGACTGACTGACTGACTGACTGACTGACTGACTGACTGACTGACTGACTGACCAGGTTCGTGGCCTCCATCCTGCGATCGGAGAGGATCGAGGAGCTGCCTGCCGTCTTCATCTTCGAGGCGGACCAGGTGAGGTTCCAGCAGGCGGAGCGACGCTGATGGCTGAGCTCAGATGCGCAAACTTCCTCCAGTCAGCATGGAGAAGATTCTTGGCAACCTGCCGGATATTGACAGGTGAGGGAGGGGGATGAGACGAGGATGAGGGAGAGATGAAGAGGACGAGGACGAGGACGAGGAGCAGAGCAGCAGCAGCAGCAGCAGCAGCAGCAGCAGCAGCAGGGGCAGCAGCAGCAGCAGCAGCAGCTGAAGCTGATGCTGATGATGAAGTGCTCTGTGTGGTGACTGCTGGTCTGAGTTGAGTCGCAGGCTTGAGGGCTACAGTACCGAAATGACTTGTGACCCTCCGAGCGACTACTATGACGCACACGCACAGAATGAGGTGAAGACCTCCTGCTCCTGCTCCTGCTCCTGCTCCTCCTGTCGGCCTCTTCCTTGTTTTCGTTCCCATATTTCCGTCCTCCTTCGTGCCTTCGTCGTCTTCGTTTTCTTATTTCTCCTGTACCTCCTTTACTGTCCCTTCTCTTCCTGTCGACTCTCCTTGCTCCCCTCATCCCGAGTTTTACTCTCTTCTTTCTTCTGTCTGTCTGTCTGTCTGTCTGTCTGTCTCCTCATTTGATCTTTTCCCCAGCAAAATTTATATACGCTAGTCGACTTCGTCTCGGAGTACCTGGCCGATACAAGGAGAGGTAGGAGGAGAGAGAAAGAGAGCAGAATAGATCAGCAGGCGAGGGTGGGGGGAGGAGAGGAGAGGAGAGGAGAGGAGAGGAGAGGAGAGGGGAGCACAACTGAATTGTTCACAGTTGGTCTGCATGTACCTCCGCAGCAGTACAAGGAGTACGACTCTGGGGTTGATGAGGACTTTGACTTCTTTGACCCAACAATTAAGGTGAAGTTGAGAATGAAGAAAACGACGACGAATTCTTCGATTGTTGTCTTGTGTGCTTGTCATGTGTGTGTTTGTTGTCTTCAACCTCTTGCGATGTTTGCTTGTTATGTTTGTGATTGTTGTCTTCAACCTGTTGCGCCTTGACTCTCCTTGCAGATTCTTGCGGCAGCTCGCGAGTCTGTCAAGACTGGCGACCGGTGAGTGAAAATGAGTGCAGGAGGAGGAGGAGGAGGGAGGAGG